AGAAAGCCAGGTACAAAGCCAAAGAAGAGTAAAGGACATACCAAGGCAAAGCCCTTCATGGCAGCGTCAACAGTGCCCTCTAGACCTCGAGAGGCAACTTCCTGGACCTCTACACGGGTTACGAACCCCCAAAGTCGCTCCTTAGCTTGCTTCACATCTTACAACATAGATACCGAAGTACTACACGAAGTAGGATGACTAGACGGAGCCTCCGCCCTAGAGACAGCACTAGGGCCTTAGCCCCCATAATAGTACTGGGACTATCCCTAGGGGGTAAAGGAACAACAATCAGAGGGGAACGGGGGGCATCACCAAGTTCTGTCTCTCGGAGAATAGCTTGACCAGTGGACCTTGGCTGAGAAGTATCAGGGGCATCAGACTTCGCCCTCTTGGAAGAAGGAGGGGAAAACACCGCCCTAGAAACGTAGACTTCCTCCACTACTGATCTATCAATGGAGGTACCTACATAATCAATTTAAATAAAAAGCCCCCAACATTGTGCCTATAAAGAATCTACTAAAAATATCAAATACCTTTCCCCTTTAGCCTAAGAGAAGCCTTGGGATGACCAGACGCCGACATAATCTCGGAGAACTCCTTGAACGGCTGGTCACGTACCATCTAGAGTCTACCCTCTTGCTCTGCAGATAGCGTCGGTGAAGCTACAAGGAAGCCAATCGCACTATAAGAACAAATATGTGACTACTAGAATGAAGTTAAAGGTAGAGTCCTTACCCAACTTGGTCTTAGGGACAGTATCCCATCTCGAAGGCACCAGGTCACGATCAGTCTCAGTGGCCTACTCGTCTCCAACGAAAAAGAACTTGGTCTTCCAACTATAAAGATTCGAAGGAAGCCCAGTAATGAATTTACCCGACCTCAAGGCAAAACGGTACCACCCCTGGTGAGGAATGGGGTTCTCCAGGAGCACATACGTGGCTAAGAATTCCTCGAACGGGAGAGGGACATCAGCACTATGTACCAACTACCACAATGAAAAGAATGCTAGTATTACCCTCCACCCGTTCTGAACCAATCTCCTGGGAACCAGCGACAGATGCCCCAAAACTCAACATATAGGCCTAGGTATCGAATACCTCAAGCCAGCCTCCAAGATGTCTTCATAAAGGACAATCTCACTGGAGGAGTCACAACATTCCAGCTCGTCCTCCTCTGCACGACGACACAGGACAACAGGAGGAATATGGTACAAAGATACTATGCTAGCAATATCCTCGTCACAGCCAATGGAGCTAAATATGGAAACTACCTTTGAGTCATTATCTCCGGCAGTCCCCATGCCTCGCTCGACCTCTTGAGTAGTCTCCTCTACGATAGGCTCGTCCGAATGGGCACCTGCCAAAACAAAACCAAGCCAGTACAAAGAAGACACCCACGCCAACAAAAGTATAAAAAAGAGCAACAAGAAACATACTTCGAGAGTTTGTTTTGTTCAGATCACTACTTGACTACTTTCTCGCATTACCCAAGCGCCCAAAGGCGCCACTAGACTCACCCACATGTTTCCTAGAGTCGCTCATGTCATTTACATCAGGAAAGGAGGCTCGAACTAGGCCTGGGATGCCGCTAAAATTGCCTCCACTACCACCTGGCACCCCGTTGGCGCTACCCAGCATGCTGCTAGGCTCGTGGCATGTGCCGCCCAGTCACCCTGGGATGCCTTCTTGCTCTGTTGCCCCAAGTCAAAGTGGCATCTCCTTCTTCATGCCCATGGGGGCCGCCTACTCCTGCACCAAGGGCACCACTTCCTGCCTTGCCTACCACGTTGGTGTCGCCCCCCAAATCTCCTACTATGCCTGATGCCACACAGAGACCCCCAGTTGAGATAGCGTCTCCCGGTGCGAGACTAGCGTCGCCCATGGGGGTGGGCCCTCCTGTCCCTTCTGTCTCTCCATCTCGCCCTCTTGTCGCAGCACCATCGATGCCCAAATGAACAAAGGCGCCTCTTTGCAGACGAGTCGCGCTTGGGAAGTCGCCTCCACTGTCGGCTGCTGAGATCTCACCACCCCTACTACCAAGAGAAAAGCCCAAGCCGCCAACGCCTGAAAGGGCGCTGCCCACTGAAGCCCCCTCTCACCTCGCCTTTTATGGCGTGACCCCTTGCACCATGGGCGCCTCTCACAGCGTTACCTGTCCCTTAGGTGCCGCCCCTATCACCATTGAAGTCCTCTCCAAGCTTCTTTGAACTCCTAGTCTCCATGGACTTGTTGTGATTTGGAAAAGAGAATATGGGGGAAGAGAAATGGGTTTGGGGAAGAGTAGCTTCTAGGGGAAGCCTTTAAATAAAAGAAGATGGCTTTTTGGAGAAGCCTTTGAAGGATGGCTTCTAAGAGAAGCCTCTAAGGAAATGGAGGGAGAAATAAGGTGGGAGAGACTAAAGACCTCTATTTATAGGGAAAGACCCAGCAAAAGGAATGCTGAAAAATTCAAAAAAAAAACATTGTCAATAGATTTAGCAGGATCCCTAAAGATGAAAAGGTGTCGTAGAGAACAAGAAAACTTCTGCTCACTTAAGTGAGGAAGAAGCTCATGCCCTCAACCCCTCCTCTCACAAACAATTGAAGGCTTGGGGCATGAGGGCAAATGATGAGCCTAAAAGTGATTGGGCCAAGCCAAATTAAATAACTAAACCCAAGTTGGCTAAAAGACAGCCCAAGCCTACTTTGTCGATCCGACCTAGTCCAAGATCCGAGGAGCTCGCAGAGATAAAAACATGTGGGATAGAGAATATCTGGATATGCATTCATGAAGATCAATCCTACCTTAATTGTACTTACTAAAAAAGTAGTGTCTTCTCCCTCACGTTACCGCCTCACCAAACTTATATATTACAAGCGTTCTCCACAAAGAGGGACATCTCAACACATCTCTCCCAACACACTACACCTTGAGCTTTGTCTCTTTACACCTCCCTTCTACACACATAGTTTCTCTCTCCTAACCAATGTAATTCTCCCCGATTATACTCTCCCAGTTATTTTATTCATTAATAAAGACCTCCGGTCACCGCTGTCATTTCTCGAGAATGAAGTAGATCACCCGGATCGAACCACTCTATATCTGTGTGTTTGCGTATATTTACTATTTTGCCACTGATTATCTTATTTATTATTCATTAAATACACCATTTCATATACTCAACTGTTGACCTTATACGAGACCAATTTGTGCATCATCAACATGTACAATACGTGTATCTATATAATGTTACAGTATAATGTCACTGTGACCACCGTATAATATTGATGTTCTGTTTTTTGAAAGTTCGTGTGTTTGATTTTGTTGAAAACACAAGGATTTTGTAGTTGAATTTGTTTAAATTTCAAAAATCGTGTTTTGAGCAAAGATTCAGTTGCCGAATTTCATAGGATTACGGCATGTCTTCCTGCTGTTTTCCAAAACCAATCCTTGTGCAGGTTTATATTATTTAAGTGGGTATTTTTGTCATTCAAAAATACTTTATTTTTTTGAATGAAAACATTTATATGAAAATTGAACAATAATATTATATGTTGTCACAGTGGTATTACACTATATCATTACACGGATACACGTATCGTACATGTAAAATTGAACATATTAAAAATTATTATTATATTGCAATACGTCAAACCATTAATTAAAAAAAATGAATTGACTCACAAATTCATTTCTCAAACTACTCTCACACGTGATAAGAGGTGTATGTTCACGAGAAGATGTAGAATACACTCCAACAAACAAACAAAAAACACAGTAGATTCCCATTTTGTTTTGATTTAAAAAAAAAAAAAGAAAAACAGCTGCTAATAAACATGGAGAAAAAAAAGGCAAAGTCAAGCTCTTGATGTTATATACTTCTGATTTTAAAACAATGATAGTCATTACATTAACATTAAACATTTATATACAAACCTGAAGTGAAGTACACAATATGCATTGAAGAAGACAAAGAAAATTAGAAGTTGAAATATTTTTCGTTGACGAAGAAAAATAAACATTGACGTAGACGAAGAAAATCAGAAACCAGAAATTTAAATCAACCGTTAAAATATAATCCATGTGATATAAGTTTAAAACACAAATATGTTGATCAATTAAAATAGAAAACTATTAATATAATAAAACAAATCCCATAAAAGTTGGTTCTGTTAAACTAAACAGTCTAATAATTATAGAAAATGGTATTTTAGTAAAAAAAATATATTAAAATCTGTCAATATGTGTCTAGATGCAATACATTACAGAAAAGATTTTCAGTAGGCATTTTCTAATAATTAAGTAGTTTGAAAAATACCTTCTCACAATTTACCCTTTTTTCCCCCTCTACTGTTAAGCCGGCACAGGTCAAACACTAGTAGGATGCACACACAAAGTTGCATTGGCGCTTTAGGCTCACTTTACACTCATGCATCACTGCAGATGTCGCACACAGGCACGGGCCACGCCGCTACGACTATTTTCTTCTTGGTGTCTGACTCAATTTTAATATCAATGGGTATGTCTGTGCTCAAACTGAATAGACGTGGCTGTTTGTAATCAAATTTAAACGGAAATAACAATCACTTGTACCAAAGGTAGTGACTGTTCATGGTGTCACTTGATTCTTTAAATTCATAAGACGGCTATTATATGATCTAAAGTATGGATTAACTTCGCCCTACTGAAGAAATCTGTCGATCCCTATCCTTAATTTCTGTTCTACATTTGTTATTCACTATTTGTAAGACACTTTCCCATGCTCAGTTGGGTAACTTGACCCAGTCCATTATATATTACTGCTGGAATGATGAAACCTCATATGAACTGCAATTTCTAGCAAAAAGTCATACGAAAAGGGTTATACCGCAAACCAAACCCTGGGGCAAGCACACGCATTTTATTGCAAGAATGGTCCATCATAGCATAAATAAGAAAACCTAAAATAAAGTTTTTTTTTAATAAGCTCAGACTCTAGCTTGTTCTCTTTGTGGAGTAGAAGTTGTGGTTTAGCTCAGCCCCTAGCGTTTTTGCTGCCGGCCTTTTTCAACGCTCGCGAACAACGCAGCCCACACGCATTGCATAAACTCTGAAATCAAAGCATACATAACAAGTGCATGCAGATCATATATTCAGAAAACATAAGAAACGCATTAAAAAGAAAGCAAAATTCGATTAATTGAACGCATGGTAATAGAAAATAAAACAAATTTAACAAAAATGATCTCTCTCTCTCACAAACACACACCCACCCTAACCAGTTTAAACTTGGTTTTTCTTTTAATTAACAAACAAGGAAAGCGAGGAGGTAACTTGTTTGCAACTTATCAGTCAATATAGCTCGGATGGTAGAAATTCAGTGGGTAATACCCTGAGGTCCCAAGTTCGAGTCTCTCAAAATATATTCTAATTTATTCTATACATGTGGTATATAAATGATTGGATGCTTTTGAATATATACTGCAACAAGTACAAAATAAGTAGTTGAGGTCAAACTGGTTATGAAAATATATATTCTACTTTTGAAAAAGAAAGTAGCAGTTTTATCAAGTTTTATATTGCCTCCTTAAACACAGCACCTATATTTTCTGACGTGATATCGAAGTAAGTAAAATTATAACGACGACGAAGACGACACCAACAACAATAATAATAACAATTGAAACAAGAAGAAAAGAATTGAGAGAATGGAATTTACATGTGGGCCGTCGGGTCCTTTTCGCCATATGGGAGTGTTCACTACTCCACACATTTTGCAGCTCCTCTTACGAACACCATCTTTCTTCTCACGTTTTTCTTGAGATGGTCCACTGTCAATACAGACTATGTTTTTCATGCCAAGAGAACCAGGGTGGTGGAAGATAGAACTCTTGGGAAAAACTTGTTTATAACCAGAGTGTTTTTCATTGTTGCTTTGATCAAATTTTGGGAAAGGCTGCTGCTTCTGGCTTGCAAAATCACAGAAATTGGTAACTTCTGGCCCCATGTGTCCAGTTTGCACTAAAGTATTCCCCTTGACCTGTTCAAGTAGAGGTCAAACGACTATGATGAACAAAAAGTTATCCATGAAATGCAAATTAGTTATGTACCCTTTGTTAACATTTTTTTAAAAAAAATAATATCCTTACAAAAACCAAAACATCTTAATTATTATTTTGTAAAAGGTATTCACATATAAACCAGTGTATAATTAAGATATTTGGGGATAAGCATGTCTATTACTTGATATTTAAACTTGGGACCTCAGAAATACATAGTTATCATTTATAGATTAAACCATAACATGTTCGGGTCATAACTAGACTAACCTATTGAACCCATTTAATAAATAGTCAACACAAATCCTACTATATATTGTAGAAAGGCGACTACGCATCTGTAAATGAGTCCGGTATTTTATGAGTTAATTTTAACACGGCACAACTTTTACAACTTGGACTCCTGACACAACATCATCCATTGCCAACGTATCTGTACAAACCAATTTAGGTAACAAATACTTATTGCGTGTGTATTGTACTAGAATTACTTATTGTTTGTTATCATTTCATTTATGACTGTGCGTGAAATTTCATATTTTTTAGTAACTTAATAAGTAATCCTTTGAAAGAATAACAATTAATTTTTCTATAATTAGTGGTGATGAGAAAGCGCTCACCATTTCAATTCATTAAGAATTAATATGTCATGTCAGCACTTAACCAATATTAGAAGGCTTCGACAGAAATAACAACTATTTCTTGAAAAGAAAATTGGATAGTAATAGGAAACCAAATTTTTCAAATTATCTAAAAGGTGATGATGATAAATGTAACAATGTCATTGATGACTATGACTATGGCTATGATCATAATGATGCAAGGAAATGAATATTAATTATGACGTCTAGAAAACATTTTAGGTTCCATTGCCAAAAAAAAAAAAAAAAGCAAAATATAACGTGACATTGATCTTATTACAAGTTTATTAAAATTTGTGCGTTCACTAGTTCATGGTGACAAATTTGCTAACTATACCTCTAAGTCACTCAGTGTTATTGACTGGCAAACAATGATTCTTTCAGGCTAATTGAATAACTCTATCGAAGTACAGAGTCCAGAAAAAATAAATTGGATAAAAATACTCGAGTCATTGGCACTCAAATAAAATTAGGGAGAATAGGGTCTCAAAATTTTTTGTTACAAAACATGCTGTGATATTATTTCTAAATTACTATATATATATATATATATAGAGAGAGAGAGAGAGAGAGAGATTTAGAAATTGAGAAAGAAACTCTTAAGGAGAAAAAACACCTGACTAAAAAGCACACAAGACCCGTGGCTATAAAATTTGTCTCACGCTTAATCTTTTTTAAAGTTGACTATATGATTTTGTGGGACCCTAGACGAGGGAGTCCTAGGCTAGTGGCTCATTTGCCTAAGGATTGGGCCATCACTGATCATATCTATGGGGGACGAGGTAGATATGTTACTTTGTGATGATAAGATTCGAAATCAAGTCATTCCTGGGATGGGATTGCCCCGTAACCACTCACTAACCCTAAAAAGATTGGAGAAAGTGATGAGACTAAGTTTTTAGATATCATAGACTATGTCAAGAAATTGGTTTGAACCAAGTTTTTTTTTTCAGTAAGTAAGATGAATTCTATTTATCAAAAAGGATCCATATACAAAAGCAATGCAAGACCCAAGTTGCTAGATACTAATACATGTGTATATACACACTAACCTGTGTGCGTCAGCGTGTGTGTTAGTGTGTGTAAATATATATTAGAAGCAGATTTTTGATGGGGAGACTAAAAAAAATATACCTGATCGTAAGATCTAAGAGCATGGATGTTGGAAAAGTTTCCTTGGTTTGCTTTGTCATGGTATGCTAGTCCCAACCTCAGGGTCAGATCAATTCCATGAATGTCCATATGCTTTGATCGCTGAGTGGAAGACAACTTCTGAATCTGAAATCAATCCAAAATTAAATAATTTTTTGTTAATGTGTTGTGTGACAAATTGGAAAAAGGAGAACACTTTGGAGCACCAGCACTCCATTGAGATCAAGATTGATAAAAGGTAATATCTATTTCTAGAAAACCATCGAATTGATTAGACGACCACACACATGCATGTATATGTGCGCACACATACACACAGACAGAGAACGGCACCATATCTCATGTTGCATCGCATGTGTCTGTATGTGTGTGTGTGTTGTGTGTGTGCAGAGAGAGAGCGAGAAAGAGAGGGACCTGCTGCTACTCGATGCAAGCAAAACAACAAGCAACACAAGCATGCTGAACGGAGAGATGGTTGTTTATAGGGAAGGCTTCCACCTAGAAATTAAATAACCTACTGGTTTGAGGTTTTTTTGCTGCGCTTGCATAAATATATACGCATAACTGGTGTCACACTCTAATAACAAATGGTGAACTACTCATTAGAATTTGCATTAATTAAAAAATAAATAAATAAACCGCATGCAGAATAAGCAACTAACGTACTGAAGCATATTGGATCATGTTGCCTTAAGACGTTTATGCATGTATGGATTAATTGATTACTCTTTTTGGGCTTGGGGGGTAATGTTTCCTTAACAAGTCCAGTTGTAAAATTTACTTGAGTTACATATACACTTTGCACTTGCCAAATTCTATCGTTGCATGGGCCCACAAATTTCCTACTTTCATTTTTTGTGTCTTAGACCATTGAGACTTTCACGATGACAATTATATTCGTGTATTAAAAGAATATTTCATTACATTAACACTTTCTTGGGGTACTATTATATGAAAAGACAAATTAGCTAGAAGGAATGTTGATGTTATTACAGAAAATACAAAAGACATCAACATATTTGTAACAATCCACAAGGAATATGAACTGACAATATTTGTTGGTGGGATAATTTTTTTACTTTTATGTTTGTAAATATAATTTATGAATTGTTGCTCATTTTGTAATATTCATAAATTTTTACCAAACGGTAATTTATGGAGGATAAAAACAATGATTAGTAGCTCGTTCTACTGAAGAGAAGGCTCTTGCGGACACTACATTAGCAATGATATGTTTGTAATGGTTGCTCCAAGATTTATGTGTCATAGTGTTGCATCTTACCACTATTGTTTGTGACAGAGTAAAAGCGCCATACAAATAGGTCACAATGATTTTTTTCATGAGCAGACAAAATCTATCGAGATTGATTGTAATTTTGTTTGTTGAAAAGAGCGTGAAGACTCCATTTCCTTAACTCATGTAACTTCTGAACCACAGATTGTTGACCTCTTTACCAAATCTCATCCCAATGTAGGTTGCGCTACCTTGTTTCCAAAAGACAGATGTTACACCTTGATGCATCTTGAGTTTGTCTGGCCAGTGAAACCACATATCCCATTTTCTATTCAGCCTCTAAATTTTATTTTTAGGTTTAATTTGGGTAGGTCTATTTTTATAGGATTCTTTTAGGGTGTTACTTTCTGTTGTATTTATTCGCTATAGTTTCTTTCTTCTTTATGAAATTTGATTTTTAGCTGCATCTTTATTTTTTTTATTTTTTTTATTCTTATAAATTAGGGTTACGTAAAGGCTAGTGTGGCTGTGAAGTCCAATGTGAAGCACTACATGCACATGGATAGTTGCATTAGCGCTTTAGGTTCACTTCACACTCATGCATTGTTGCACATGTCGCACACTCGCACGAGCAACATTAGAATGACTCAATTTCTTTTTGGTGTCTGACTCAATTTAAATCTTGATGGGCGTCTGTAAGAATTTCAAAATATACCCAATTTTTTTTTTTTTTGTTAATGAACATATATAACTGTTTGTGTTCAGATTTTGATCAAAATAACTGTTACTTATGCCAAAAAGTCTCTTTAAATACGTACCACTTCTCATTTCATTATCATTTTCTGACCCCTATCAATTCAATCTTCTCTTATTGTCAAAATTGCTTGTTCTAGGTTGGTGATTAGAATCACAGTCTTGACAATTTTGTCTCGAAAACAGATTGTTTGGTGATCCTTTTAAACAGGTGTTTATCAACAAATATGAGGTAATTAATGTCTAAAAGACTGGTTCTTGTTACCTTACTACCTTAACAATTCTGCTCATCCCCTTTGCTTATTTTTTTATTCAGCACTATCAATTACCTATTGTTCTAACACTTCCACTTTTTACACTAGTCAGTCAACTTATTCCAATATTCATTAATATTTACAATTATAAAACATCAAATGAACTGTAATTTCAGCCAGCAAAACATAATAGGAAAAAGGATATATGTCAAACCTAACTCTGCGGTAAGCAAACAGGCATTTTATTTTAAAAAAACAAAAAAATGATTCATCATAATGTACATTTAACAAAACCTAAAATAAATTGTTTGGAAAAATTTCATCCACAACCCTTCTAGTTAGGCATAAATTCAATGACACCCCATCCTCACTCTGAAACTTCATTGCACGCTTTCTGGTTTATACTTTTAAATCAAAGACATCCCCTTAACCGTAAAGTTTAACAGGGTCGGTTGAAAAAATAACGGTTTGCCTTTAAATTTTTAAAAATGTCAAAACTACCCCTCCTCATATGAATTTACTAAAATGTCCTCAACCCTTTTTCTTCTATATATATATATATATATATATATCCTATCCCTTTTTGTTGGTAGAGGTCAGAACTTGTGTGGCTGGAAGTCAGACTGAACGTGAGGGGGTTTGCTCTTCAAGTTGTTCTCCACACTAATCGTTCACTACATAAGTCGGTAAATATTTTTTTTCTTGCAGATTTGTAAATGTTTTTTATTCAGATTTTTTAAAATTTTTCATTCAGTTTATTTTTTAATTTTTTTCATGTAGATATTTTTAATTTTTTCATTCAAATTTTTTTTAATATTTATTCATGCATTTTTTTTTGTACTCAATTTTTTTTCATGCAAATAGTTTTAATTTTTTTAATTTTTTTCAAGCAATTTTTTTTTAATTTTTTTCAGGCAATTTTTATTTTTAGATGTTTAAATGTTAGTATATTGTGATGTATTATAGGATTGAAGTCTTCTTCAACTGGTAATGGAGGTAGAGACATAAGGGAGGAAAAGTTTGACATAAAATATAGTTATAAATCATGTTATTGTGAGAAAAAAATTGTGATTAAGATAGTAGAATCTGAGAAGCCTAGTAAGTGAAGACTGTATTAAAATTGTGAAAAAATGTCCTATAGATTATTTGCATGGTGTCATCCGATATCTATTGTACCACTGATCGCCCAACCTGAAGGGTATGGAATGGGGCATCGCAACACAGAGACAAATGTTGAATTGAACAATTTGGCTACAAGAGTGAAGTCGATAGAGGACACCTTACAATGCATGAAGAAGATGATGGCAGTTTTAATTGTGATTTTAGTGTTACAGCTTTTGGTTGGAATAAAGTAGTTACAGACTAATGTTTTTGGTTATGCAAATCTGATGTTTTTCGTTGTTCAAAACTGATGTTTTTGTTCTATGTGATATGACTCGTATGCAGTTTTGACTATTATGAAATCTGTCTAGTATGATTTTGTTACGCATTGCAATTCTGACTAGTATGCAATTGGCCTCCATTTCCATATATTCAAAATATTTACAATATTTAGCATCCATGTGCAGTCACAAACTATTCTGTTGTGAAATTTGCAGCTATTCTATACAAAAATTTACAAGTAATCTGTTAAACCATCTATCAAGTAACCATCCGTTCTACACAAAAGTCCTAGTCTATTTCTAATCTATTCCTGTGTTAAACCAACTATATTCAAATATTCACACAAGGAACAAAAACAATCAAAAAGTCAGCATTGAGAAACTGATCAAGTCTTAGCAGTTTGTGTCTCCCCTATGCCCTGCCACTGTCTTTCCTTCCTCTGTCTCGTCCTCTTCCTGTGTCCACTGACCCTTCAATGTTCTGGTTCTCTTATGGCAATCTAGGTTGTGTTGTTATCCCTTCAATGTTCTGGTTTTGTGGTGGTAAGGTAAGCTGTGTTGGTGTTCCTCCTTCCTTGTCCTTACTTTCCTTCCTCTTCCTCTGCATACATCAGTCCCTCCAGTTACAGATACCTAACAAGTATGGAAAATGAATTAGCAACTTGTATATGTTGTAAACTAAGTAACTGAAAAATGGATCAATTAGTACCTGTTCAGATGTTAGTCCAATTCTAAATTCTGCTTGAGAAGATGTCTGTTCTACCCTCGCAGGAGCTGGCTGTTCTGCACTCACAAGAGCTGTCTATTCTACTCTTACAAGAGCTCTTTGACATGTCCTCTTATTATGACCAAACTCTTTGCAAATTTTACATTTCACACTTAAAGACTTCTTAACAAAGCTAGTATGTGATGTTGGCTCATCTGCCTCTCTCCTCCTATTTTTTTTGGGTCCAGCCCATACAATCACATTTTTTTAATCAAGCACCACTATGTATCTTATCTTGTTATCCATTATCTCATGTTGCATTCCACTTGCATGCACTACAGAACATGATATTGACTCAACAATGATTTTGTTAATTTTTTTCTTAATATTCTCTATCACTAACCCTTCCCAACTGTTGCCTCACTCATGCATCTGTTGAATCCTAGTCATAAATTTAGTCCTGATGCTATCCAACAAATTAATAATAGACTTTGACCTCAAAGATCCTACTCAACTATTGAAAATTCACTTAAATTATTGATCACGTGATCACTCTGAATTTTGAAATCAAATGCATGCTTAAACTAGCAACTAGATGGCCGCCTAATCATCCATTGGTGTGCATCTGGGGACTTGGACTACAAATCTAGCATAGCTTCATTGAAGTCCTCTTCATTATATGTTCTAGCTACCTTCCAAAATAACCTTCTAAGCAAAACACCATGAAATTTTACCTTAAATTTGCAAAATAAATGCATACAACACCTCCACACTGGCCAGACTCTCAACATTCTCCACATTGCCCAGATTCTCCAAACTGCCCATATTCTCCAAACTACCCACATTCTTCACATTGGCCAGATTCTCCACACTGTTTCTATGAACAACATTTGTTTCCAATTTCTTGTGGAATAACATGTATATTTATATGTTTTCTTTTCTTGTGCCTACTAAACATCTCCATTACATCTTTGTCATCATCTAATAACATTCTGTCATTTGAACCAGGCAATTCACAAAATAATTTGAACTCTAAGGTCAATGCTAATGAACACAACATAAATACATCTGAAAATAGGTGCACATGGCAATATTTATCTAGGTCAACATTTTATGCCATGTATTGTTGCCCATTAAAGTGTATGAAAAATTCAATCAACTTAGCCATATCTACAACACTTTCAAACACAATAGCACATTCAGGAAATGAAGAAAATCATCTATGTAGCATGTTTGAAACAAGAAGGATTTTTAGAAAACGTTAAAAAAAAAAAAAGAAGCCATAATTTCAACACTATCCTGAGCCCAAATATCTATGGAGAATGCATTAGAAAAATCTGAACTATGTTCAGTATGAGGATAAAAGATGAACAAACCCTCAAATCCATAAAATATAAACCCTAGATATAAAAAACATAAAATAAAATTCAGAATTGTCCAACCCCTTACTCAATATCTATGGAGAATGCATTAGAAAATCCTGAATTATGTTTAGTATGAGGATAAAAGATGAACAAAACCCCCAAATTTGTAAAATATAAACCCTAGATACAAAAAACGTAAAAAAAATTCAGATCTATCCAAACTGTTACTCAGTATCTGCGGAGAATGCATTAGAAAACCGTAAACTATGTTTAGTATGAGGATAAAAAATGAACAAAACCCCCCAAATCCATAAAATGTAAACCCTATATACAAAAAAATGTAAAAAAATTCAAAGTTATTCAAGATATACCAGAGAATCTTCAATGCTCACTCTTTAAATTATTCGATGTTTGGAATCGCAAAGGTCTTCCAAGCCTTAAGCAATTTTCTTCTCCTTTTCTTCCCTCTTTCTCTCTCTCTCTCTCTCTCTCTCTCTCTCTCTCTCTCTCTATTTGTACAACAGACGATTAACCCATGGAATGCACAGAGACAACCTAGGTTGGGTTAGGTTTAATAAATAGCTGGGGTTAACTAAACATAACCATAGTTAGTAACATGCAAAGTACGTATAAAATACTCTGGGTTATTTTTGTAAATTGACGCTAGTCATTAATGTCATTACCAAACAATGTCTGATAGGAGGTGGCAATGAAGTTTCAGAATATGTAGGGGGTGTCATTGAATTTATGCCTAACTAGAGGGGGTGTGGATAAAATTTTTCCAAATTATTTTTATGAGCTTAGACCCTAGCTTGTTCTCTTTGTGCAGCGGGACTCATGCTTTGGTTCAGCTCCTAGTGCTTTGGCTACCTGCATTTTTCAACCTTTGTGAACAATGTAGCCCACATGCCTTCCATAAAATCTAAAACCAAAGAATACAGAACAAGTGAAAAACTTAATCATACAAAGAAAAAAATGAAGGAAGTAGCAACACACCTAAGAAAGCAAACTTTCATGGATGTACGCATGGTAAAATCTGATGATATATAAATTGGTCTAGTGCAAGATCAACAGTCGAGTATGTGTATAGGTATAATTAATGGACAATAAGTAAGATAATCAATGGAAAAATAATAAATATAAGCAAACACACAGATATATAGTGGTTCAGTCCAGGTGACCTATTCCACTCTCGAAAAATGACAGTGGTGGCCAGAGGTCTTTATTGATGAATAAAGTAACGGGAAGAGAATACTCCCGGAGAGTTACACTGGTTAGGAGAGAGAAAATATGTGTGTAGTAGGAAGTTGTAGAGAGACAAAGCTCAAGGTATAGTGTGTTGGGAGAGATATGGTGAGATATGTTGTGAGATGCCTCTCCATGTGAAGAGAGCTTATAATATATAGTTTTGGTGAGGCGGTGACGTGAAAGAGAGGACACCACCTCTTTAGTAAGTACAATTATGGTAGGATTAATCTTCATGAGTGTATATCCCAATATTTTTTATCCCACGTGTTTTTATTTTTCCGGGCTCCTTGAACCCTGGACAGGATCAGATTGATAAAGTGGGTATGGGCTGTCTTTTAGCTAACTTGGGCTTAATTGATTTATTGGGCTTGGCCCAGTTGAATTTTGGGCTCATTATTTGCCCTCCATGCCCCAAGCCTTCGACTGTTTGCAAGAGGAGGGGGTTGAGGGCATAAACTTTTCACCACTTAGGTGAGCAAGAGTTTTCTTGTTCTCTACGACACTTTTTCATCTTCAGGGATTCTGTTGAAGCTACTGACACTGGGTGTTTTTGTATTTTTCGGCATTCCTTCAATCATGAAACTTCTGATAACTCCATGGTTGGGTATACACTACTCTGGCTTTATGGTCGATGACGTGATAGATGATGAGAGAGAGACGCCTTTGACGCTACTGGTAATGCCATAAGAGGTGAGGAAGGCGACGTTCATGGAATAGAGAATGAAGTTGTAGAGGCTGATGGCGCTAGGGGAGTAAACAATAATGCCCTTCACAGCTTGGGCGACAGCTTAGTGGTTAGCAACACCACTGGCGTGACTGAGGAACTAGGAAACGCCCGAAGCTTGCCCAAAGGAGCTGTTACAAGAGATCCTAGCAGGGCCCTTCGTGCTCTTGGAGTGGGTTCAAACAACATCGGCTGGTTATCGAATTGCTAGATGGCGGCACCCTTGAAGTATATAAGGGCGATGGCACCTTTAGTTCTAGATGGCGATGCCACTGGACAGCTTCTGGGTGACACCTGGGCAGTTAGTGCTTTGTTGGCACGGGAGTTGGAGCTAGCTAGCGCTGGTGCTGATACGAAGGAGTAGAGAGCGACACTATTACGTTCTTGTCATTTTGAGCACAGGAGGGAGGCACTCAAGAGAGAGACTCCCAGGGGGGAGGTGCCCAAGAGAGAGGTGTCTAGTAGGGAGGCGCCTCGCCCGAGAAGGAGGCGCCTGGTAGGCGAACCCGTTTTCTTCAATCCTATTTTCTCCTTAATGTTTTTTTGATACCGGTTCTTTATACTAACCTTGTCTCTAATGACAGGTGCTCTGTTGATAGGGTGATAGTGGAGACTGTCTATATTTTTAGGGTGGTGTCTTCCCCTCCTCCTAAAAGGGTGAGATTTGTTGCCTCCAGTACTTCTCAGTCAAGGTCCGATGGCTAGGTTGCTTCCCGGGAGATAGGACCCGATGGCGCCCCCACTCTAGACTGTGACTCCTGTGTGTACCAGAGCTAGCTCTTGTACCATTGTAGGAGTTGAGACTCCAGTGTGGTCTTATATGGGGACTATAGCTTTACATTGTTTTTCTGTTTCTAATAGTGGCTCGGTGTGCATGCTTTGACTTGACTTTGGCCAAGGAGCAGATTTGGAAGTTTGTGACTCCCAGAAATATAAGAGAGGTTGAGTCCCGAGATCCAGAGGGCATTGTCAATACTGCAATTGAGGGGTCTTCCATCGTATACCTCTATTTTCAACTTTGATTTTGTACTTCCCCCCTTCCTTCATGTTCTACTTTTTGAATAATTGTAGGCGGCTACCGCTTTTCCCTGCCTCTTTTCAAGGATAGTCAAACTTCGAGANCTAGAGGGCGTTGTCAATACTGCAATTGAGGGGTTTTCCATCATATACCTCTATTTTCAACTTTGATTTTGTACTTCCCCCCTTCCTTCATGTTCTACTTTTTGAATACTTGTAGGCGGCTACCGCTTTTCCCTGCCTCTTTTCAAGGATAGTCAAACTTCGAGAGGCATCCATGGATCTAGCAAAAGAGAGGCGGGCTTTGAGAGACTGTTGAGGAGCAATTGAGGCTTGCTCCTGAGAGAGTCGTGCCCTGAAACTGAGATTTTTGGCATCCTACTAGAGGGCTGGAAAGGTAGAGGCTGATAAAAAGACTGTGCTTAAGAGCAAAATCAGGGCTGCGAACGTCCCGTAAGAGAGGTGCAAAGCTGGAGGCTAAACTATGTATAGTTCAGGAGAAGGCTACCGTGGAAGAGACTTGTAAGGTGACTACCTGCGTGAAAGCAGAGTTAGAACTGCGAATGTCCCGTGAGAAGGCCACAGGAGCTGAGGCAGAACTACGTATAACTCGGAAAAGGGCTACCGTGGCAGCGGCTTATTAGGAGACTACCTGCACGAGAGCAGAGTCATAGCTGCAAGGGTAATATACCATCCATTTGGTTGTTTTAAAATGCAGCAGCAATTGAAACAAGAAAATGAAAAAAAAAACAATATATATATATATAGAAGCATTGAGAGAAAGGAATTTACATGTAACCCATCGGGTCCCTTTCTCCATATGGGAGCCTTCAGCATTTCACATGTATTGCAGCTCCTCTTAAGAACATTGTATTTCTTCTCAATTTTTCCCTGAGATCTACTGTGAGTCGGGGCTATGGGTTTTATGCAGAGAGAACCTTGGTTGAAAATGGAACTCTTGGGAAGAATTAAGTTTATAACCAGAGGGGTTTCCCTTGCCTCTTTGGCTAAATGTTGGAAGTGAGTGTTGTTGCTGGCTGGGAAATCACAGAAATTGGTTCCTTCTGCACCCATTTGTAGTTTGCATTAAAGTATACCTTGATCTGTTCAAGTAGTGGTCAAGCGACTATGATGAACAAAAACTTACGCATGAAATGCAAATTAGTTATGTCTTGTTTGGTAACTTTTTTTTAAGGAATTTTTTTTAAGTACAAAAGTAATATACTTAAGAAAAGATCTTTAATTTTGAACATATTTTACCCAATATAATACTGCAATCGCAAGAGTTCGAGAAGACTAACAAGCTCATGTTCAAGACGATATTGTTTGTCTATTACTATACATATGATTAAGTTTAAAATACCAGAGCAATTCAAGTAGGGGACGGTTGAAAAAAGTAAAACTGTAAAATAAACACCACTTAAAAAAGTTTAAAAAAAAAATGAGTATATAAAAAAAGTATTACTTCTTGGCTCTTATTTAATTAATTTCCCACTCCCTCCCCTCTTAAAATATAGTTGTCTTGAATGTGGGCTCTTGGATTATATGTTGTATTTCGTTCCATTTTAGGCTGGCCCCTCTATTATTAATTTTTTGGCTTAGCCTCTAAATAGATGATGGTTCTCATATTGAAGAATCTAAGTTCTAATAAAAATTTCTTACAAATTCTCGCCACCCACATAGCACAAAACTTTGTGCATAAATTTGGTATAACACAACCCATCAACCGGATAAAAAAAAGAGATAAAAAGTAATCATGTATAGAATAAACCTTAACATATTCGAGTCAGAAGAAGATTGACTTACTAACCCTAGTCAACATAAATCTGACTATAGATTACAGAAAGGCAACTATGTGTTTATAAATGAGTCTGGCATTTGATGAGTTAATTTTAACATGGCATAACTTACACAACTTGGACTCCTAACACGACATGATCCATTGCAAATCTATATGTATCCATCGATACTATGTACTGAAATTATTTATTGTTTGTTACCATTTCATTTATGATTGTGCGCGCACTTTCATATTTTTAGTGACCTACTAAATAAGTAAACCTCCGGAAAATTGACAGCTATTTTTAAAAATTACAGGCGATGGGTATTAAAACTCTCACCATTTCCATTCATTAAGAATTAATACGTTGTGTCAGCACTTAACCAACAATGTTACAAGGCTTTGACAGATATAACAACTATTTGTTGAATAAGAAAATTTAATATTCTTAGTAGTATGGCACCAAAATTGTCAAATTATCCAAAAGACGAAGATGATGGGGGCAAATATAACAATGTCATTGACGACGTTGGCTATGATTATGATTGTAATGATGGAAGCAAAAAGAGTATTAATTATAGAACACAGGGTTCATGAAATATATATTGGACAAATAGGCTAGTCATTGGAACTCAAAAGAAATTAGAGTGGAGTCTCAAAATTTTTGGTTAACCACCTGGTACGATATAAATTTTCACATATAATCAATTTTACTTTGGAGTGAGAGAGAGAGAAATAAATGAGATGTGAAATTTGAAGAGGGGGACTCTTAAAAGAGAAAAAACATGTAACATAAGACATAAAAGACCTGTAGTCGTGCAAAAATATAAGGAATCTTCTACTATAACATGTAATAGTATATAATAGCACAATTGACAATAAAAAAATTTTGAGCATACGTCGACGACTTAACTTTCTAAATATTCTTTTTCAAATTTAATCATTTGATCTTGTGGGACGTAGGTGAGTCGTAGCCTCGCTATTGGGGATTCCAGGCGATCACCTCATTACCCTAATGCTCCGTTTAGTATGATGACAAAATAAAAAGATGGAAAGTTAGAATGATGAGTTTTCTTTCCAACTCATCAAAATCAATCCCTCCAAAATTAGAAAGAAATTGACTAAAAAATTAATTATTTGTATTGAAATATATTTTATTTGTCTACCTATCATTTGATATATATATATATAATTTACACATTAATTTCATATATAAATACAATGATAAAATATGTATTTATACTTTTTTTGAAAAAATTTAAAAAATAAAATATTTTTTTTCATCTTATCAAGTACCAAGAAAAAATTAATCATTTTTTATTTTTTATATTTTCTATCAAACAGAGTATAGGAGTTGTGATACGTTCACACATACCATATCTATTGAGTACGAAGTGGATGTGCAGCTTTGCAATGATAAGATTCGAAAAAAGCCGCTCTGGAATGGCATTTCCCGTAACCAGTCGGTCTAACCCTAGATTCAGAATGCGTAATTAGACAACCTGGGCTATATTAAGAAGTCTTTCATATTGGTCTTCCTGTGCGGGAACCAAGTTGCAGACTTAGACTACCGTACCAATAAAAAAAAATCGGACTTCAATGAGTATTTTTATAATTTTTATAGATTATTTTATGACGAAAAATTTATCATTTTTGTGGATGATTTATCATTGTTGTGATAAAAATTTTAGTTTTTTACCATTTTTTTTCAGTACAAAACAAAAATGAGTTATTTGGAAGTCGATACACCTTTTAACACTTATTAAACTAAAAGTCTAAGTAAGAAAATATTTTGAATAAAATTACATTTGTGAAACAATTAGGAGAATTTACTTATAATTAAAACACATTTGAAATTTAGCAGTTTTGTAATATTAGAACTCTTTCTATCTATACACGTGATATATATATATATATANGATGTGCAGCTTTGCAATGATAAGATTCGAAAAAAGCCGCTCTGGAATGGCATTTCCCGTAACCATAACCCTAGATTCAGAATGCGTAATTAGACAACCTGGGCTATATTAAGAAGTCTTTCATATTGGTCTTCCTGTGCGGGAACCGAGTTGCAGACTTAGACTACCGTACCAATAAAAAAAAATCGGACTTCAATGAGTATTTTTATAATTTTTATAGATTATTTTATGACGAAAAATTTATCATTTTTGTGGATGATTTATCATTGTTGTGATAAAAATTTTAGTTTTTTACCATTTTTTTTCAGTACAAAACAAAAATGAGTTATTTGGAAGTCGATACACCTTTTAACACTTATTAAACTAAAAGTCTAAGTAAGAAAATATTTTGAATAAAATTACATTTGTGAAACAATTAGGAGAATTTACTTATAATTAAAACACATTTGAAATTTAGCAGTTTTGTAATATTAGAACTCTTTCTATCTATACACG